CGGAGCGCCGGGCTCAAAGGGCGCCCCTTGGCGCTCGCCGCTGTGCCAAGAGGATGCGGCCCCGCGCGGGGCCCTGCGGAGGAGCCGCGGCTCTGGGCAAAGGGACTCGTTGCCTGCAGCAGCCAGGCCGGGCACGCGGTGCCGGGCGCGAGCTCAGCCTGCGCACAGAGCCCCGAGGCCTCTTCCAGGTGAGTGGGAAGAAGCGGGAGCAGAGCAGTGCTCCGAACCAGCCCCACCAGCCAAACCAGCTCGCAGGCTGCCCGTGCCAGGCGCTGCTGGAGGGATCCCAGCGGCTGCCGAGCCGGGAACGGAGAGCTGCTCCATCGCAGCGCCAGGATCGGGGGATCATCCAGGGTGGCCACAGCCCCTCCTGAGGGTCTTTTCCTCCTGACTTATTGCTGGCCACAGACGCAGGGCCCAGAAAGCAGAATGAGGAGGAAGAAGCCACTGGGGCTGGTGTAGAGGGAAAGCGCCCGAATCGGGCATGGGGGTCTCGATCTTCCCCCTCGCTCTTGGCTTGTGGCCACAGGCTACGTGATTTGGTCATGTCTCACAGGACAACCTGGTGCCAGTGTCCTGGCAAATGCGGTGACCGGCCCATGTGCCACCCGCTGTGAGGGTGCCCCACTCACTGAGCTGCCGCTGGGCTCTGTCCGACCTCTCCACGCGCCCAGGAAGCGCTAGATGTGTCCATCTAGTGACCGTGACAAGGGAATCCCAGCGTGAACCAGGTGCCGTGAAGATGCTCCTTGTTATGGGCTTGCTCTTGGTCCCTGCGAACCAGCCAGTCCTACCTCTCTTGAGGCCTACAGGACACAGGAGTTTGTCCCTCCGTCCTGTCTTGCAATGACTTGGGGTATCTGAACAGCCCCCAAGGAGGCACCAACCCATCTATCCCCAGAGTGGATCACCAAATCCTGCGTCCTCCACTGCTCCCTGGTGAAGGCAGCCCTTGATGCAAGGGCTTGGCCCCGGCTCCCCAGCGGGTCCCTCCTCTCCCCATCTCGACCCTTCGGGGCAGCCCGGCTGCCGAGGTGGGATGCAGCTGGGTGCTGGTGGCCATAGGGCGCTATAAGGTGGGACAAGCACCCCTAAGGAGCGTGGCCGGCGGAGCCGAGGCTGCCCGGGGGGAGCGGGGCTGTGGCGCAGCGCTGGGGCGTGCGTGGACACACGTTTCCATCCATCTATATGTTAGTTATCTCACTCCAAGACGGCGGCCGCGACTGCTGCATCCCTTTTCGGAGCTGCTATTGGCCAGAAATGATGTCAGTGCTTCCCAGGCTGGGTGCTCTGCCATTGGCGGCGAGCAGGGATGCGGCTGGCAGCTGGAAGCGCTCCAGTCATTCACGGCGACTTCGGTGTGGGTTTGCTGGGCACGCTCGGGCACAGATAGGTGGCAAAAGGGGCGGGGGGGC